ACTCCCATTGCAATTTTATCAAGGCAAAAACCTGAATTTGCAAGTCGATAGTGGCTTGAGAGTAAACGAAGATTCGATGCCAGATCAAGGTTTCTTGCCTTGCAATTACAGAGTCGACACTCCACAAATCTGTACTTGGTCAACTGTTCCTGACGATAATCGGTCGCTCGGTCTTTGGTTTTCAGGACGATTAGCAACCGTCAACCATAACGCAAGTACTTTGACTCCCGTACCTATATTGACATGTCCCAGGGTATGTTTATTGCTATCTTCCACCCCGCGTCTGGTGGATGCAAATGTAGTTTCTTTGCCATGTGGATACGGAGGGCCATGGAGAAGGAGTAATATGGCTCTTTTCTTCTTCTATTTCTCCTCTACTCCCTCTAGGCTCCGCGAAGCCCTCAAGCCTGTCACCGAGCAGAAGAAAAAATAGTCAGGATAAAAAGAAAAGGGAGAACCACAATCACGTCTCAAGATGAGATAATGCCATGCAGTATTCCATCAGACCAACTCGAGATACTAGGATTTGGCGTTATGCCTAAGAATGGGCGTTAATTCATCCTGCTTCTGAGGCAACCCAATCTGTGGCGGGCATCTGGGAATGCTAAAACGCCTCACCCTCGGAGATCTCACTCCATAAAGCTCGAGATGCAGCCTTTGGGATCCACCGGCCTCCATTGTCAGTGCTCTTTGGGACATGTCAGAGAGTATTTTGGGGGGTCTGACGCTACTTTCTGGCTGGCTGGATCGTTAAGTTAAGCCCTGCGGCAGAGCATGATATTTGACGGCAGAGCAACTACCTCGTTAGCTTGAACCCCTGACCTCTAGCTATTGGCCCCTAGTGAAAGGGCCGAGCATCGTATCATTGAACAAGCAAGTGGGCGCTCGAAAGATGCTGAGTCTGGGAACAAGCAGCAGGACACACTTGCTTTTTTTTCGTCAGGCCAGGCAATCAGTCTTATGGGGAGCTTTTCTGTCCGACCAGAATTTGCTTTTTTGCCATACCCTCCTCCAAGCCCTCCACAATTGGACCAGATCAGGATAGGCCCTTTCAAGCGTCTTGCCCCTGTCATTCTTCTTTTTCTTACCATTTTACGCTGTGAAGGTGGGTGGGATTTCTTGGATCCACAGAAACTGATCGCCATGGGTTCAAGACGGTGGTGGCCGCTGGACGGTGTTCGATATCAGACGCGGGTGTGCCTTTTGATGCATATAATACTCGCCTGTCTCTGCCCCCAATATCAGCTAGAAGCATCCTTTGCAAACGGAATACCATCTTCAGTGACGTTTTCTCAGTTTGGCCTACATCAACCTATATACCATACACCTCTCTTGTCAGCCTGAACTGAAGCTCGAACTTTATCGGCGTTTGATACCTAACTCACGCTTAATCACTGAACCGGTTTACTGGCTTGAACCCGGCCCAACGTCTTCGGGCAGTACAAAAGATATATATATATTGCCATATCCCATAACCGCACTGTCCTTCTACCCTTATCGAACGATACCGGTGCTGTGAACGTATAGCTTGAAAGCCGGCTTCCTACGATACCACACTCCCAGCACCCAACTTTAAAGTCTCTTTGTTGAACTGGGAAGTAATCAGGAAGCATGACGGTCGCCTACTCAACGGTACTATCCGATCACCACTCGGAGAAGCTCCCCTCTTTTAGAGAGGTAAGATTTATGAGATTGGATCCCATACCATGTGTGAAGCATTGTTTTCTAACATTGTTTAGCTTCTGCCCGATCATCTTCATGATGAAATAGAGGGTGGAGTGTTTTATACTCAGTCTAATCAGAACTGGAGGCGTGGTTCGCTCCAGGATACCATGCCACCACCCACCCAGCGCGCTGATAGGCTTCCATCCAGACTGTTTGCCAGAGATAGCCGGTTTGATGATGTATCCTTGCGGCCGGACAGGTTCATGGGAAACAGCACCAAGTCGTCAAATCTCCAGCAACCCCATGTAGTGGAATCAAAATCCTCGATGTCTGCTTCGCACTCGCATTCGCGCCCTAAGCTTACCCTTAACGAGATCAACCGATCGTTACCCCCACCTATTCCATCCCCATCAAGAGAATATTTCGTCAAGGTTTCGCCGAACGCCAACAGCAACGCCATATACGCACCCTTGAACAGTCGAGGAAGGAATGAGGGAGAATTATCAAACTACTCAATATCGTCTCCCAGAAGTCAATTTTCTTTCGATTCGTCGAATTTTTCACATTCATCCTCTCCAGTCAACATGGTCTCTTCCTGTGATTGTCGTGATCAACTGTCGTATCCCTCATCATATGAGCAGACTCACGCTTGCGACAGGACTTATTCTCGATCAGCATTTGGCCATTTCAGACCAGCGTCAGGCTATTGCTTGTCAGAATGTGAGCTTGGAGATATGAGGGAGAAAAAGCGGAGAGGAAACCTACCAAAGCCGGTTACAGACATGCTCCGAGCTTGGCTATGGGAGCATCTTGATCATCCATACCCAACTGAAGAGGATAAACAAATATTTATGAGCCGGACTGGATTGACTATTAGTCAGGTAAGCCTTCATCTATATTCTATTGACACGGCAGCCTTCAACACGGACTGACATATTCCTATTTCCAGATCAGCAACTGGTTCATAAATGCCCGGAGGAGGCAGGTGGCATCTTTGCGTAGCCAGGTTAAAGCCCGCAATAACTCGGAAAGCGACAGCAGCAGTAGCCGGAGGAATAGCAGCCCCCGTCACAGTGACGATGACTCGGATTATTTGCGGACCCCATCCGAAAAACACTCAAGCCTCCCTTAATTACTTTCCTTGTTTTTCTTTTTTCTCCTTCAGACTCAACGCTTTTCTTAACCCGTCTTAGCCCATGTAATCTCTAATGCATACCGAGGTTGTCCATGCGCAGTGTCCCTTCCCATGAGTGTACAATAAGGCGAACAGTATTTCGGTGAAAACTTCAGACAGTATTCCGAACCTCTCATATGGTTCTAACCGACTTTATTTCTGGTATCATGTACTCTGGAGAAAAGATTAAATTCGCACACATGTGGCTTAAACTGTGCTTCGAATTGCCTTGTATTCTAGCAAATTGACGAGCGGAGTAATTAGAGGCGTCTGAATCCTAGCCACCGCTCGCCACACATTGAGGATCGCTTGTAAACATGAACGTCAGCCTTGTCAGCTCAACATCAGCCGTTAGCCGATCTATGCAGTTTGCATGGAACTTGATGCAGGGGTTCGGTTCCCCAATACTCAGATGAAAATGTTCACCCGATACCATATCCCTAATAGAGAAAAACCTAAGGAGTACTCCGTACAGTTCAGGCCAAAGTCAAGTAGAATTATGTTAGAAACCAGCCATTTTATTGTCTCACCAAACTTTCCGTTAAGTTGGTAAGGTAGGGTCAGTGGCTAATAAGTCGTCTCGCGTCGATCGTATATTTTTAATTTATTTGCCTGGTTCGCGGGCCTACCAGCCCCTAAAGTCTCTCGATCACGAGTCCATCCGCATCGATGTATCCGTATATAAGAAAGAGATTTGGTAATTGCGATGAGTGGTGGGATCTACAATCGGATCAGCCATGGTTCGGTGGCGTCTCTGTAAGCCTCCTAATCTGGGCATTCGAATCCCTGATACAGAGGACCCTCATTCGACGACCAGCGACCAAGATGTGCTAGTTCTCCGTATTTTAACTGCGGATATTTCGTAACATGTGCTGAGAAGAGAATCATGGATTCTGGACTTTCAGAGGATATCGAAATAGCCACAGCGATCCGAGCACATACCGCTCCACATCTGCCAGTATATCTCGTCTATGAGCGACGCGTTCCCAATAAATAGATCGCGATGCTTTGTAAAGCCGACGGCTTAAGGGGCGCAGGGGCCTTGGCGGCAGAAGTCACTCCTGCCACTTGCATGCCCAGTGCGTTTGGTATCCCGGGCCATAAGATATGGTGTAAAAACCAGCCGTGCTGGCTGCAAAGCTTGCGTTTGTCGCTCGATCGAGAGGTGAAGTGGTTGGTTTCTTTTGCAAAGCGAACGAAGTCGCGAAGTTAGATTAGAGTTTTATATCAGATTCTCCGTTTTAGGACTAGTGCAAATATAAACATTACATAATTATGCTTACACATACTTAGTAGGGTACAGGGCTTTCATACTCACGTGATGTACCCTGACATCATGTTAATGACGGGCAGATTGAAGAATAGATGACAGGACAAGTGAATGACAGAATAGCCGTGATACTTCGAATTGTGGGAGCTGGGCCACTGCCATTTACTTCCCAAGCCCTGCCGGCAACTGATCAACGCCGAAATCGAACGCATCCCAGGGTTTTTACCCGCTCTCACTGATCCCCCGCTATTGGTCCTGATTAATCGCTATCGCCAACGCCCGCTTCCATGGGAACAACTTTGCAGAGCCTTAGCGCTCTTATGCAAAGGTCTTCTATAAATGACCATGAGGAGCTTATCAAAGCCTGCAACTCGATCCTAAAAAAGTCCCGAACGGATGTGGATGCACAGCATATCAAAACCATTGCGCTTATAAAACTAGACAGATTTGAGGATGCAATTCGTGTAATTGAAGAAGGAGGTGATGTGTTGAAGAAACGATTGCCGCTTGAATGGTCTTATGCCCTATATAAAATTGGGAAATTGGATGAGGCGATATCATTTGCAGCATCCGTTGGTTCTCAAAGAGGCGCAAAGCATGTTGAAGCACAAGCGGTTCGTGTCCTATCAACTAGTCAGGGCATATGACCTGAAATAAATATGCTCCTTTGCTCCTTTTGTATTGAGTTTCTTTAGAACACTTGCTAATTTGTTAATCTTGTATAGTCCTATAGAGCTGAAGACTTTGATCGAACTCTCAAGATCTACCAGGATTTGATCAGTGATATGAGAGCTTCCACGGGTGAACTCACCGATTTGCAAATAAACATAACGGCAGCTGAGGCACAAAGTCTTTGGACAGGCCAAAGTACTCTTTCAAAGGACCTGGTTTCAAAGCGAGATGCTTTAGATGTTTTTGAAGCTGCGTATAACATGGCATGTGAACAAATAGCCAGGGGTTATTACGAGAGAGCTCTAGAACTCTTGAAATTATCAAAAGGTACGAATAGATTACCGCCATCAGTTGCTGTTACAAGTTCGCTCTGACATCAAAGAATAGAATTATGCGAAGCGTCTGATGAACTCTCTCCCGAGGATAAGAAGGCAGAATTGTTGCCCATCAAAATCCAAGAGATACATGTCTATTTACAGCAAGGGAAAATTGAAGAAGGAGAAGCGCTTATTAGAGGCATAGATTTTGCCGAGTATGTACATTCCACCCCTCGCTTCTGACTGCTATCAGATTAATATAGCTGACATGTATACACAGGATTACCGATCTTTCCACTAAGCTCATTGCCGAAAACCTCGCTATTCTTACAACCGAGCGAAACATAAACCCCTACATCAAACACAAGAACTTTAGCCGAACCCCAAGGCCCGCTGGCAATGATAAATTCTTCTCATACCAGAATGACATCTTAAGCAGAAATGCCCTTGTCATCAATCTTATGGTCCAGAAGTTTGATGGAGTTTCGAGGTCGACCTCTAAAACTCTTTCACAACACTCTTCTGCTACCCTTTCATCAGATATAAATTCGCTCGCCGCATTCGATGCTACTGCTCACACTCAGGGAGCAGATGGCAGAAATGCGATCAAGAAAATATCATCTCTTTCTGCTATGCGTCCTCGTGATCTCGGTCTCACCTTAGTTCTTGCTCAACTACAGGTGGCAGATGGAAACATCAATGCCGCAATATCCACGTTAGAGAATTTCTCTACGAAATTGGAAGAAACCGGCGATGACTCCGATATGATGGTTCGGTTTAGCCCCGGGTTTGTCAACATCCTTGTCACTCTGTACAGAAGTCAGGGTCGCAAGCATCACATAAATTCTGAACTATCGAAGGTTGCCAAGTATTGGCAGGGGAAGGATCCTTCTAGCCAACCAACATCACTACTCCGCGCAGCGGCAATATCTCTCTTCAACTCTCATGACTCGGCAGATATATCTACTGCTACTGAAATATTTGCCCATCTCCACTCAAGAGATGGCAGTGATCGTATCGCAACTGCAGGTTTTGTAGCCTCTCACGCTATTTCCTCACCGGCCCTCGTTGAGTCCTCCCTTAAATCTCTTTTGCCAGTTCAAGAGTTGATTGCCGGTGTAGATGTGTCGCATCTGGAAGCCGCTGGTGTTCAACTACCTGCGAGCACAGCTACCTCTGCATTAAAACAAGGCCAAAAACGGCGTTCATCGGATGTGTTGAAGAAAAATAAAAGGATTCGAAAACCCAAGAATATGGACCCTAACGAGAAAGTTGACCCTGAGAGATGGCTTCCCCTGAGAGACAGATCAAGCTATCGGCCTAAAGGGAAAAAGGGCAAACAAAGGGCAGCTGATCGAACACAGGGTGGTGTGGTCAATGAGAAGGCAGACGATGGCCACAGCTCGCCTACACCTGTGAAAAGCACTAGCCAGGTAATTGGGAGCATGGGAGGCGCAAGGAAGAAAAAGGGAAAAGGGAAAAAGTAGTTGATCCTGTTTACCTGCTTCTGCCTTTTACGATACCTTATCTTTGCCAAAACTTCAAATAGAAACTGTTCCTCGTAGAAAATTATATACCGTCTCTAACATATGAATACCTTATGGATATCAGTTAAACCCACCAGCCCGAGCTCTTCTTCCTACTTGGGATATTATAATTCACGTGATGCATAAATTGCCTAGGGGCTTAGTTAGTTATGTAAGCAACGGGGGTAAAACTATAGAGTTTAAGAAAACTTTCCTTAAAAGGGAATTTAGACAACTTCAATATATCATCGTTTGCTTTGAACGTTCACCAGTTTATACCACAGCCATTGCACAAAGCGAGGCAAGGAGAAACTTCAAGATGGCATCCTCTAGATCTTCAACGCCAGCTTCATCTCCCACGCAAGCGTACTTATTCCTGTACAACTTAGTATCCCTGGGACTCTGGAGTACGCTCACTTTTCGTCTACTATTTTCTCTCTTCCAGATATACAGTGACAGCCATGGCAGTTATAACAGCGAAGGTGAAGGAGTTGCTGGGCTGTTTGTCTATCTCTTTCCCCTGCTTCGGACGACTCAATCTCTTGCTGCTCTGGAGATTCTTCATTCCTTGTTCGGACTTGTTCGAGCTTCGGCTGTGACTACCACCATGCAGGTAGCTAGCAGGCTATTGTTGGTCTGGGGAGTCATGTATGTCTTTTCACCATTCAGTCCCACTCTACCCATCTTCGAATTTGACGGTACGGGTGCGAATAAATATTTCCTTCTCGGGCATGGGATGAGATCTGCCCAACTAAGTGACTGGGGATTTATGGGATGTCTGTTTGCCTGGGGTGTTACGGAATGTATTAGATATGGGTTTTTTGTCTTCCAGATACTGGGACAGGGTATTCCTAAAGCTATACTATGGTTGAGGTTCGCATTGTCCTAACCCTATTTCCTCCATGACGCCAGCATTAATAATTTTCATTTCAGATATAACACCTTTTTTATCTTATACCCTGTTGGAATATCGAGTGAATGCTTCCTGATTTATCTTACGGTGGTTAATGCTAGCGGTCTCCTCTCCATCTTCCGCTTTGCATTCATTGCCATTCTACTCGTTTATATTCCCGGTATGGCTAATTCGTTCATAACCCCTTGACATCTGAACTCTAATGTCTTGCTAATTTGATAACCTAGGGTCTTATATATTGTTTACCCATATGATGGCGCAGAGGAGGAAAGTTATGAAAGCTGAAGGCAAAAAGAAAGCCAACTGAGAATCGGCTTTAGCATGGCGGTGGCTTTAAAAAAAAAAAAAAAAAAAAAAA